AAGGAGGAAAGAAGGAAGGAGGGAGGGAGAAGGAAGGAAGGAAGGAAGGAAAGAAGAATTGGTAGGAGAGAGGGAGAGAAGGAGGAAAGAAGGAAGGGGAAGGAGGGAGGGAGGAAAGAAGGGAGGGAGGGAGGAAGAGGAAAGGGAGAAAGAAGGAAGGGGAAGGAAGGAGGGAGGAAAAGGAAGGAGGCAGGAAGGAAGGAAGGAAGATCAAGGAAAGAAGAAAGGGGGAGGAAGGAAGGAAGGAAGGAAGGAAGGGTCTGCAACGCCAGTGGGTTGATGCCCCTATCCTCCCCCTCCCCAGTTGTTGGTTGGTTGATGTCGGTCATGATGACTTCCAGGTTCAACTTCTGACTCAGGAGAAGCAACATCCGAGTTACGACCCAAGTACCTTTTCAAGAAGATGAGGATGTGCATGGACCATGGGAGCAGGAGGAACGCCTGGTTCTGCTGAACGGCCTCCACCGTCCTCCGGGCCACCATCTCCGGCTTGAGTGGAGGAAAAAGACTGGGGAACCTGCCGGAGAAACCAAAGCCACCTCAGTGCCCGACTTCGAGCTCCCTGGGACCTTTCGACTGTGCAAAGTCCAGGGGGATTCACTTAACGACCGTCTAATAACTGCAGCGGATTCGCTCCAACGAGACAAAAACTCGCAGATTCCTCACTTGGCAACCTCCATGTTGCCATGGGTTCCGTTGCGGTCGGGAGTTGACAACCGCCTGTATTTTGATCCACCTTCACACGGACCCTAACCACCGTTGTTGTTTTTTGGAAGCGACGGGGCATCGTCCCGAACTCAACCAGCACCTACCTGATCCGTATCCCTTGAAACATCTCCGTGCTGGTGTGGAAGGGCAAGACGGTGGTGGCGTTGACTCCCGGACAGTCCAGAAGCCCCAGGGTCAAACTCTCCATGAAGGCGAAGGAAGACGCTTTGGACGTACAGTAATCCACGGCGCCAGGAATAGCCGACAAAGCGAGGATGGAGTTGAGGCAAACGATGTGTCCTCGCTGCAGTTCCAACATCCTAGGTAGGAAGGCCTTGGTGGTCTGAGGGATCACGAATCAGGATCAGAGTAGAGCTGGGAGGGGCCTCGGAGATCTTCTAGTCTGACCTCCCCTCCCCTGGTCAGGCAGGAGACTCTAGCCCTAGGCCATTCCGGAAAGATAGCTGAGGAACTTTGGGAATGGAAGGCTTTTTAAGTTGCCAGATTTGGAGTCCCCCTGCGGTAGAACATGGAGTCATAGAGTTGGGAGGGACCTTGGAGGTCTTCTAGTCTGACCCCCTCTGCTCAAGCAGGAGACCCTAGACCATTTCAACCAGTCAGTCAATGGGAACAGAGCTGGAAGGGGCCTCTCCTGACCGCCTGCCTACCCTGAAGGGGAAAAAAGGGGTTCGTACCCAGAATTGTCCCAGGGTGTTGATGTGTTGGGATTTGAGCAAGGCGTGGTCATCACTGTCCAGGAGGGTCTTCCCATGAACCACGGCTGCGTTGTTCACCAGGATGGTGACATCTCCCACCTGGAGACGGGGAGAAGGAGGTCACCGATCGGGGGGAACCATGCGATATCCGGGAGGGAGGGAGGAGAGGTGGGGAAAGGATAGAAAGAGAGGAAGGGAGGAAAGAGGGAGGAAAGGAAAGGCGAAGGAAGGAAGGGATGAATGGGAAGGGAAGGAAGGAAGGAAAGACGTGATGGATGGGAAGAAAGGAAGGAAAGGATGAATGGGAAGGAAGGAAGGAAGGAAGGAAGGAAGGAAGGAAGGAAGGAAGGAAGGAAGGAAGGGAAGGAAGGAAGGCGAACAAGAAAGATGTGATGGATAGGAAGGAAGGGATGAATGGGAAGGAAGGAAGGAAAGAAAGATGTGATGGATGGGAAGGAAGGAAGGAAAGGATGAATGGGAAGGAAGGAGAACAAGAAAGATGTGATGGATGGGAAGGGAAGGAAGGAAGGAAGGAAAGAAAGAAAGATGTGGTGGATGGGACGGAAGGAAGGAAGGGATGAATGGGAAGGAAAGGAATGAGGAAGGAAGGAAAGAAAGATGGGATGGGATGGAGGGAAGGGAGGGGAGGAGAGGAAGGGAAGGAGGATCATAAAATCAGATACGGTCATATAATACTTCCTTTAATGACCAAACCACTTAACAACGAATCTTCTCACACACACCCATTGTTTGTTGTAGCTCGATGGGTTACCAGCAGGACCTGGATGTTAGTGGCTCATTCAGGGGGGGGTCAAAGGCCCACCTCAGCCTTCCTGTCCTTTCGTGTCCGGGCCGCAGACCAGCTGACCGACTCACCTTTTCCCGGACGGCCTTGGCTTGCCGGTAAACCTCTTCCCGATTGGCCACGTCGCAGACGAAATAGTGTCCCTCGGTGCCCATCGCCCGGACCTCCTGCGTGGCTTCCTTCAAGCACTTCTCCGTCCGTCCCCACAGGACGATCTGCAAGACGAAGCGGCTTCGTGGTTTTAGGGACCCAGGGCGTGGTCCCCGATGACCCCTCACCATCCAGGGATGCCCTCAACCACCAACCTCGGCCATCTCCAGGGACTGAGCAGAGCCCAACCTAGTTGAGGAAAGTCCCAAGCTAGACTTTAACACGCCACCCAAGAGAAGTTGGAGACGCCACTGCCACGGAGCCCACCGGAACCCCCAACCAGGTATTTTGAGTTACTCGGTTGTGTTGAGAATGTGATACACACAGCGGTGGAGGGTGTGTGTGTGTGTGTGTGTGTGTGTGTGTGTGAATCCATGTCTCCACCTACCTTTCTCCCTTATCCCCACCCAACTGATCGAGGAGAAAAGCAACTTCTAGAACAGGGGTCGGCAACCTATGGCTCTAGAGCCGCATGTGGCTCTTTCATCCCACTGCTGAGGCTCCCTCTCGTCAATCGGCTCCACAATGGTTTAATTCGTGGAACGACTTGCCTTCAGAAGTTGCGGGTGCTCCATTGGGCGGCTTTCCTGGTGCCCGGGATAGAAGTCGGACGTTAAGCGAATCTGGCTACCCTCTAGACTTTTGCCTTGCCGCAAAAGGGGATCGCGGGACACACACACACACACAAACACATACACATACACCCGAGAACACAGCGACCGTCGTAAGTACGAATCAGTTTGGCAAGAGTCTGAATGTGGATCCCGCGTTGGGAAAACGTCGCTTTTTTTTTTTCATTTGACGTCGTAACTTTGTCATTAAACAAATCGTTGTAAATCATGATGCTAATTGGCTAATTTGGTTACGCTAATCGGCTAATTTGGTTATGCTAATCGGCTAATTTGGTTGTGCAGATCGGCTGGTTTGGTCATGCGAATTTGTTAATTTATGCTAATTGGCTAATTTGGTTACGCTAAACAACTAATTTGGCTATGCTGATTGGCTAGTTTGGTTACATTAATCGGCTATTTTGGTTATACTGATCAGCTAGTTTGTCTCTGTCTCTCTGTCTCTCTATCTCTCTCTCTCTCTTCCTTACTTCTACCCTCCCTCCTTCCCTCCCTCCCTTCCTCCTTCCTTCCTTCCAGAACAGTTAATACAGCTAGTCCTTGACTTACAACAAGTTCATTTAGTGACCCCTGGAATAAAGGGACTTACGGCCGTTTTCCACCCTTAACACGGCCTTTGCAAACATCCCCGAGGCCGCGTGGTCAAAATTCATGACACTGGGCCAAACCGACTCGTATTTACGACACGATCCTGCGTCGGCGACCTCCACGGGGAAATCGAATTCATTCACGGCAAACCGTTGCGGCTCGTGGAACCGCGGCGGGGTGGTGAGGGGGGCGCAAAACGGGGCAGCCCTCCTCCTTAGGCCCCGTCTCGCTCAGCAACGGGAAGGTTGGCCATTAAGTCGAGGACTTTAGGTTTGAATCCGGTTCTGGGCGATTCAAAAGAAAAACTTCAAAGGAAGCTGTTTTCAACAGGGCAAACACACACACACACACACACACACACACACACACACACACCAAGGTGACACACCTAGGCAAGCCGAAACACGCATCGGCGCCGAAGGCATCTCGCTGATATGTGAAAGGTATGAGATTTGCAAAATAAAAAAAACCACACCCCTTCTCCAGGCACGCACACACACACACACACACACACACACACACACACACACACACACTTATACACCCACCCATAAACACTTGGCTCACTCAAGTAGAGACTTGATGGCCTTTCTCCGCCGGGAGCCGAGGCTGAATTTCACACGCAGCCTATCTGCGCACCGACGCAACCAGATAGTACCCCACAAACGGCGCAGGGCAGTTTAATAAATGCCCCCCCCAAAAAAAAATCCCATTCGCTGTTATTTCGGGGTGCCCCCACACACACACACACGCACCCAGGGTAACCCCCTGTCTGGGCTTTCTTGGACAATGAAGCCTTCCTTCTATCCATCCGTGTGAGGAAGAAATGAGGTTTTCGTTCTCGGGGACCTTGGAGGTCATCAAGCCCAACCCGCCCGCCCCCCACTCAAGCAGCAGACACCCCGACCCCAGAGTCCGTTTCAGACAAATGGTTACCCCATCTCTTCTTGAAAATCTCCAGCGTCCACAACCCGAGGAAGGAAGGAAGGAAGGAAGGGAGGGAGGGAGGGAGGAACTAAGGAAGGAAGGAAGGAAGGAAGGAAGGAAGGAAGGAAAGAGGGAGGAAGGAAGGAAGGAAGGAAGGAAGGAAGGAAGGAAGGAAGGAAGGAAGGAAGGAAGGAAAGAGCTGGAAGGGACCTTGGAAGTTTTCTAGTCTAACCTCTTGCTCAAGGAGGAGAAGGAAGGAAGGAAAGAAGCGAAAGAAGGAAGGAAGGAAGGAAGGGAAAGAAGGAAGGATGGAAGGAAGGAAAGAAGCG